TGGCACTAAATGTGACCTGGGCTGGGATGCTTATATTTTTGTAGCGAATAGTCACTAAAGTGAGAAAATTTGTTTTAGTTTCTTCTCAGTAAGTACTCGAGTATCATTTTATTATTTAAAAACATTAATAAATAAAAATTTGTATTATCATTGTTTTCTTTAAATAAGTTACCTACTAACGCATCGGCAACTACTAGCAAAGCTCGGATTTGTATAGTATAATATTTGTATAATATGGGTAATTTACATATTTTTTAAATGTACGCTATAATAATATAGTAACAATTATTGATTTATTTTTAGACAATAAAATCTTATATGACTAGTATAATTATTACAATATGAGTTATGAACCAATATGTACTATATACTAACATATAGTATAACATGATAAAATACTAAAATATATCAATTCCATCATGAAAAAATAAACAAAATAAATATCTAGTATACTATTTAATTCACTGAGCATGCTCACCCCCTTTTTTCCTTTAATAATGTATTTATTCATATTCTGAGTTGGAATTTTTAAATATATACTCATCATAGACGTCATTTTCAAATGTTTGAATTTTTTGTACTACTTAAGGAATGTCCTGTTGAGATACAAACTTCTGATTTTCACATGAGAGCCCCCTTTTTTACTGTAAATTAGTTAGAGGATGATTTTTTTGAAAATGTTGATGTAAATAATCCAGCTTGTTAGTTATTAAAATTGTTCTATTAAGGATAATAGCCCTTAAAAATGGTTTCACATAAATATAAAATAAATGTAAAACTGGATCTAGTACAAGCTTGGCCCTTTATTACAAATTATTATTTATATTGATTATAATAATATTGATAAATTAATATTAATGACTACAATTTTAAAATCACCATATCTCCCATATTTCATAAATCCATTACCATGGATCTATTATCCCTAGACCACTGCAAAGTTGAATACCTCAAAAACTACACGTTCGAATTTTGATTCTAATACGTCAAAAGTTTCAGAAAAAATATCCACTGTAATTTACAGTTGAAAAGGGATATGTTCTCATTTAAAAAACATATATTTGTATCCCCACAGGGCACTATTTACCTATTACACAAAATCTCAAGAGTTTGAAAACATTTAAAAATTCTAAAAATTAAATTTTGAATAACTGCATTCTTGAAGAAAAAAGCGGGTGAGCATACTTGGTGAATCATCCTGTATAACATATCAATAGTCATAAATCATAATAATTATAAATAATAACAATTATTGCAACATAATATAATAATGTGTTTTTCAGTTTTTTGATAAATATCCACATAAACAAAAAAAATAAATATTAATATTAAATGTACGTAAATTATTACGAATAATCACTTATAAAATATTTCCTATACTTAATGAATTTAACCTACTGTTGTACTAAAGTAAAATAAATTACTTTAATCCCAATAATATCATCAAATTTACTTAGGTAAATATTATAGGCTGACAGACCGTCGTCGCTCAGAGTCGTTTTTCGTATATACAATGATTTTATATCATTGAATTAAAATTTAACACCATCCATTACAGTGACTCTCTATAGACACCTAATGTAGGTACATCAAGTCCACTTACCGCTTATTTGTTATTCTTATTATTTTATTTTTCAGTATAAAACTATGAATAGCTCTACAGTTATTACCATATGTCTATAATATATAAACACGAAATTATTAAAGTTCAAAGGTACCTACTTAGATAGTAGATACTTACCTACATTAGATTCTATACTATCTATGGGTACGGTTTTATACATACATAATTCGAAATTCTAACCCTGATCATCAGTTTAACACTATAATTATTAATTGCCTTCTAGACTGAAATAATCTTAGTCAGTATAATAAGCAATCAATAATATTCATTTTTTTGCACACAACGTTATTTCATCTATAAACGCATCTACTTACTGCACGCGTTAGGTTAGGTATGCCTATACATAATATTATATGTATATAGATAGCAATGAAGGGTATTATCCATTAGACAAAAATATATTATTGAGTCCCAAGCATATGCAGATCGGAAAATGATGGGTAAAATATAATAGTGTAATACTGCAATTACCTTGTTTTATAATATATGTGTTCCATCTTTTGTTCAGATTTCAGATTATGTGGTTGCCCATATGTTCAATTGTAAAGTTAGTAGATACAAATGTACAATACCATTATTTTAATTACATTTGATTTATGAGATAATGCCATAAATAAGAGTAAACGGAAATATCTGGTTATAAATTATTATATATATTTATTATTTTTAGATTAAAAATTCTCAGGACTAAGGTGTGAGGTGGTTGTAAGACGGTCGCAGGTTTTGCTACTTTAGCGAATAGCGGATGTCATTAATATTTAATATGATGCGAGTTTTTTGCCCGGATAAAATAATGGGGTCGGTCCCGGAAAATATATTCATTTTTTTGTATGAGGACACCCACACGTCACATTATTCGTGATTCCGGCGTTCCCCCAAATTGCTATATTTCAAGAGGGGGGTTGGCACCAGCCAACAGGTATAGGGGCGTAGGCATATATAGCTTGGGGTGGCAATATTTTTAAATGCACCACTGAATACACTGGTATTATTTTTACGAATCGACTCCATTCCTACAGAGAGTAATGTATGAATTATAAAAGCATATTGTATAAGTATTTTAATTTATAGGTATAATATACGCTTGACAGCTAAACTAGGCTCAAAATACAATTATAATAAATAAACAGCGTTGTATAGGTATGTACAAGACATAGACAAATTTAGCAAGTAGAGCAATTCGAAAAGAAGACACCTGTGTGTACAATTCATTGCATTTAATTAACTGTATAATGATTTTAAAAATAAATTATATCTTATATATACGTATTATTAGACGATTTTTTTTTTCGTATTATCGAGGACCGGGGAGAGAACCGCGATTTGCATTACAGTTTCCCGCCTCCCGGCAAGTATTATTAGACCTATTATACTAAAATAGTGGTTAAAGGTTGCGTTTATATGGAATGAATATTTTCAAATAGTCTATATGATTAATGATATTTTAGTGAATTCTTAGTATATGATTAATCAAATAACGTTTAATTTCTCAAATCTACAGTATAGTTTGTACTGAGTGTAGGTACCAAGCATGAGCTCACAAGTCACCCCCCTAACATATTTTTATTCTGTATTCGGTAACTACCTATCTAAAATAAATTCATTGAAATTCTGATTTTTTTAATATTTTATTAAATATAAGTACACTTAAGACAGGGACTGAATCTTAATTATTTTTACGGTCCGGTTCGGTCCCAGAACAACTAAATTCTAGAAAAACGAAATTCTAATGAAATCCTATATACAGTATAACCATCAGAGATCAGCCATCTAATATTTTGTTGTATCTATTTATGTAAAGCTAATGGCTGCATACTGTATCTATAGGATAAAATCAAATATTTTAAGCCACCTCCGAAACATGTGTAGGTATACTTTATATTTCAATGCAAAGCCTGACAGGAAAATTTATAATTTTGCCACAAACCATCATGTAGATTGTAAGTAGGTATACCTATATTCAGGTGTTAAAGTGGGGAGGGGGGCGAAGGAGGACTCAGTCTCCCTACCTCTGAAGGCGATTAAAAAGCGTCCCCTTTAACAAATTAGAATTTTAAAGGTACATTAAGATTAAACATAAACACAAACATTATATATGGAACGCTTAAAACTATATGGAGACATTGGTCCCCTCTGGAATTTTTTCCCACTTTAACCCCTGCCTATATTATACTTATTTAAACAGATAATCCAATTTAACTGTAACTCCGAGTCAAGATAAATTGCAACTTTATAATAAATAATACAATATTATATTATACCTATATGAACTGCAAACAGCAAAAAATTAATCAATAATAGGTATAATATTAATATATGTACCTATAGGGAATACCAGCAGGGCAAAGTGAATAATGTTAATACAATTTTTAAATATTATTGAACATATAAGTTGGTAGTAATGTGACTCGTCAATGCTGGGATAACGATTTGATATCAGTCACTCGTTTACATTATAGTTAAAAAAAGTATTTTTTTTCCGAAAATAGTACGAATTCGTGAGAAAAGTAAGAATTTATAGCCTTTTTTAAATCATATTTATAAAATATGAACTGTTTTAAACTATAAGTTAGTATAATATTGACCACTCATATGAGTGTCTACCTATTACCACTTTATAAGTCAAACAAAATAAACTTTAATACAGTTAATTTATATTTATGGTTACCTAAACCAAAAAAAAGTTTTTAAAATAATAGTTTGGGTGCCATTTGTTTACAAATAAGGTTAACCTATGCCCTACTACACATATAATATATTATAATCTACACGCATATAGGTAAATTGTATTAATGTATTTATTCATTAAACTTATTAGGAATCTTGTTTTTTAGAGATCAACTATTATAAATATATATTAATATTATATACCTATACTATACCTATAGGTATACTAAAAAACACAATTTAATAAAGTTATAGTCAATTTAAGCTGTTGCCCTTAACGGTTAGGGACTACCCCTTCTATAATATGTACCTACAATACGAAACTATGTCAACATTGAACATTATAATATAATATGCGAGCTCAAATAGATTTCCACATGATAATTGATTATTGAGGCGTACCAAACGCTTTTGCCTATTTATAGACACACAGTATAATATACCTATAATATAACGTAGGTCGTAGGGTGACTGTAGGGTACAGCTGACAGTTTAGGGTGATGGTTTCTTGATAAGGTCCGCTGATTATAGGCAACGTTTACATTTTTATCTGTAATATGTAATTTATAAATATATGCGTAATAATTATTAATTATTATTATTGTACCTATAGGTACCTATCGGCTATCTTACCAAAACAAAAATGATTTTCGGTCCATTTCAAAAATGTTCGGCTGGCAGATAGTATAATAATTAATAATAATAATATCTAACCACTATAACCATATTGCAGTCGTTTTCGGGCTCGACGCTCGCGGCTGCAGAGTGCAGAGTCGTCGGCGACAAAGACTCTACGTCGGCCGCCGCGGTGACGGGACGCGCGCGCAACCACGCAACCAATGAGCACGTCCGGGGCGCGACCAACATAATCCAGCGGCCCTCCTACCGACCAGACGCGCCCGCCACCGCCACAGCCGTCTTCGTCAGTATTCGCACGGTGACGACGACGAGACGATCGTGACGCGTGTCTGTCGCAGACACGAAAACGCATTGCAACTGTATCTACCACGTAAGGATCGACTAGCGCGCGTTTAATAGTTACATCCATACAGAACGCGATAAAACGAATTATAATCGGTTGGCTGGCTGTATGGGTGCGATTTCACCGCACTGCAGCTCAGATCAAACTCGAAAGGGTCTCACGCCCGGATGCGACGCTGCATCTGCAGCTGCGGTGTTATTATAAATAATAATTTTAACATTAACAGTTTAATCGCAGTGGACTGCATCACGACGATGACGTGCGCGTTTCACTAAACGGTTGTCAGGTGCAGCGCGCCAACGACGACGACGCGCGCCGGCCATCGCATGTCGTACATGTCGCCGAGGGACGTCGTCGGCGTCCGTGCCGCCGGCAGCATCAGCCTGTCGCCCGGCAGTTGTATGGAAGCTCTCAGCGAGAGTTCGGGGTCGAGCGCGACAGCCGCGGCGGGCGGATCCGTCACCGTGTCCGATTTCCTGCAGACCAAGCGCAGCCTGTCGTTCTCGTCCGAACAGGTGTCGTGCATGTGCGAGGCCCTCCAGCAGTCCGGTGACGTGGACAGGCTGGCCAGGTTCCTGTGGTACCTGCCACCGAGTGAACTGCTCCGTGGTCAAGAGACCGTCCTCCGGGCCAGGGCCCTAGTGGCGTTTCACAGGTACCTACTTAATTTTTATTTATTGTAGGCAGGCATTGTTAGGTACTTGCAGGTAGTTGGTAGTATATTACATAGTTTCATATCCATCATCAATTACTTAAGTACGCTATAGCTCTATATAGGCGTATCTCGGCTTGAGTATATACCTATCTTTGTTTTAGTGTAGGTATGCTAAAATACCTCATTCACAGACAAATCGGTGTCAGTGTACCAGTGTGCTTTGAGAAATAATTTGACCTAGATGGGCATCCGCAAGTCACGGATTGGATGTCTTAGTATATTTTTTAAAAACTCTTTATACTCTCTATTTTTTTCTGATTTTCGTCAAAATCATTAAAGTAGTTTTTGAGTGTATAAACTACAAACAGACCATATAAACATGCATGCTTGCTGCATGCTCATTTGATGTATACTTGCTGCCGAGTAACCAATGGCAACCATTTATAAACAAAAAAGTTTCAATTTCCACCTTGAATCCTCAAAATCCTTGGTTGAGGACCTATATATAATGCGAATTTTTGAAAATCTTAGTGGGTAGGTATCTCATCATAAAACAAAATTACTGATCAAATTTCATACTCATGGCTTTGGCGGTTCCGGCTCGGCGAGGATGAATTAGTCAGTCAGCCAGGACAAGTTATTTTACATAATATATAATATATAGATTTGTAACTTTTTCAATTATTAATATTTAATACTGCTTATAACTCGCTCAAAAATTAAAATATAGGTAGTAAGAAAAAACTATAGTGACAAAACACAAATAATGTTCTTACCATTCTCTCCTGTAATTCACTATAATATTTAAGCTAACTACACCCAATTGTTTTGATAATATGTATTACGTTTATAGGCAGAGGAGCATCGTTCCTTTAAATCAATATAGGAATAAGAATTATAATTATTATAGTATCTGTGGAAAAAAAAATGTTTACGTTGCTGATAATATATAAATATAGTATGTCCTTCAAACCCTCTATTCATATACTTTAATATCGTATTTTTACCGACTATAACATCTTATTCTTCATGTCTACACCAGGACAGCACACCTCAGTACTATGGTTCAAGCTTGGGATCGTTTATTTATATGCTAGTTATTATGACAATAATGTGTAACAGACGAATATTATTTCAGTAAATTTTCCAATCAATAAAAAAGTCTTATATAAAATTACTTTCAAAGAAACGCACTAATGTATTTTTTACGTATCCACCAAATTAATTTATAAATGTTTATAAGGTTTAAGGATAAAAATAAACACAACACTGCCTAGGAATAATTCATTCATTCAAGCACGTACCTATATCGTCGTATCAATTATACATTTGAATAGGTTAGCTGGATTCTCTGTGGTACAATTTTCGCCAAGTAAATTTCAACCCGTTTCTACAGCAGTTATCAACAATAACCATGTATTTATAGATATAGTTTATCAATAAGAAGCCAGGCTAAAGTTTAAAATATAGGAGTTTCCGCAATATTTAATTTTTTTTTATCTTGGTTAGGTATACCTTAGGTTATAGCACACGTCTTTTATCGATTGTATAATTATAAGGATAAATTACTAATGATAGTATAATAACATAATTGATCAATACCTATATAAAGTTATTACTAATTTACATTATTTTTATTATTAATTTTTTAAGGCATCAATAGGTATAACCACTCTTATCATTTTACACAACTAATGTAGGTACCTAATATAATATTGTCATTTTCTTTAAAATAATTTTAAGTCCTCTAAACTATAAAATACCTATCTAATTATCTTTGTTTTTAGCTTATTTATTTGTACTTAAAAATAGTTTATGATTAAAATTGTATAAAACATAATTTAAAAAAAGCTTTTTAAACGTCATCTCTACGGAAGCTCATATATATTTATATAATATTATGTACCTACCCATATATAATTTCGAAATTCTAATATTATGCCAGTGTATTATGTTCTAAATACCTACAACAATACTTCACTTGATGTTCCGCAATAATTTTATATTTGTGACTTATAATATAATATAATTTTATATTATATGTATATTTATGTAATGCCTCCGACCGGAATCGATTGTTGTACACGTTTTGCCCATCAACGACATTACAATATACGCATAGTTGTACGAGTTTTCGTATATTAAAATATTATATATACATATATATACCTACAATAATATGTTTTATTGTTTTCGTTGTAACCCGTCCAGAAATTTCCGGCACTGTTCAAACGAGTTGTTTTTTTTAAATTTTTGTTTCGTATAAAGTATAAACACGATACTTAATAATATACACTCTTAAACTCATTGCTGGCCATAAAAACGATATTCCTTGATTTTTATTTTTTGTTACTTTTCTGCTTGCTCAATATAACATTAAGCCTAGTTCGTTTTTCTTCCAAACGCGACCCTCTTTGAGAAAACAAGGTTTTTAAAATCCGTTTATTACGGATAAGTAGAACACACAACAATTATAAACGTTTCCGATAGTAAAAATAAAAAACTCTACACATAGTGAACTAAATATGTATGATAAATGTAAATATGGAATTATTACATCGACTATTATTTCTGAATTCGCACGATTCCGAGTCCGACACTGCAGTTCTTTCCGCAGTTTTCAAAGATTAGCAATCTGCCTATAGCAATAATCAATCTTAATTTAATAATAACATTTTGTTCGAGTAAGGAATACTGAATACTGAAATCACATTTTTTGTACAAAATCTGCACAACACAATTTTTTTTTTAACTGTGACATGTACATTTTCAATACCAGATTTTGATATATCTATACCGAATTATATAGTAATGTTGACGTTTTAATCATGGCTCCGTGGGTTCTATAAAATCAACATTTACCTAATTACAAGTTAAGTAGGTTTTTATTAATGAATTTGCATAGATATTTATGTTTAGTAGATTTAATTTTAGTTTATACAATATAATCCTCTTTAAAATGGAGGACGAAAGATTTCAATTAATACGATAATATTTACTTACCTACAAGCTACATATAGACATAAATATACAAAATACTACAAAATGTTATAATTTACCTAGTAATCGTTAAAATTATTATTACATTTATGTGTGAGTGTGTGGCTTATGAAATTGTTTTATATATAATATAACAATATCTGAGCAATGTTTTTTTAAATAATAATATGCACACGCGGCACGTAAGTAACATTTTTTAAATGTATAATATAATACTTTTACCATAAGGGTACTAATTGGCGCTTAAGTCTAACAGCGCTGCATTTTTCATATTAAAATATTATTAATAGGAAACGCTAATGAATTATGATGGTTGATACTAAAAAAAACATAAATATCATTATAATATGACGACGATATTATAATATATTAATGAGGAAATTCCTTCAATTCGAATAAAAAATTCCATGAATCGTATAAAAACGTTTAAACAAAGAATGAAAATGTAACTATAGGTACCTATCTATATAATTTTAGTTGAAAATTATAATAATTATATCTAATTATACCTACTCCGAAAATTATACGGAAAAAATAATTCGAATTAATTATCGTTTTACTTATCAAATTTGATTGATTTTCGTGATTTCCTGAAACAATAATATTGTATAAACTGCGGACGGATGTTTATCTAGGTTTTAATATACTGATTCAAAACCTTCATTCGTAATATGTGTGTACCAGTACACGCTACCTACGTTTTGATGCACTTTTTCTCCTATGAAAAATGTTTTTGAACATACATGTAATTTTCGATATTTAAGGTTTTTTCGCAAGGTTTTTCAAGTATATTGAAAATTCTTAAATCAATTCGACCGTGTATCGCATCTAAATTCGAATCGACAAATGCATGAAACGTGTATAGATAAGGTATTTAGCACTTATATGTGTTGTGGGTATATAAAGCGTCATAAAGTACCTATAAGTAAGTTTTTTTTTGAAACGACAGAAAAAACATATTGTTTTAAAACAAATATTATAGATTCCTCGCTTTTGCTCAGAATCTAATACGGTGTTTGTAAAACGTTCAGCTGTCACTATGTATACACACTCACTCGACGGTTTATTGGAATACATATGTATGTGCTCGAAAATAAACAACGGCATAATATGACCATATCTTCTAAAATTATTGTTGCAGTGACTTATCCATCTGCCGTAAAAATTGTAAACAAATGACAGGTGTTGTTGAACATTTGATAAATGTTCGCACTATATTTACCGATCGTTAGGATATATGGTTAATTTACGTAAAATATAAAACTGCTGCAATTTCCGGAAATCGGAATCAAAATATTGTTTTATCATACAAAGAAACTATACATACTGAATATTAGAATCATACTGCAGTAGAGATATTTGGGGGGCTGCTGTTATTCAATACCATCATCATAATAATATCATGTACAGAAAATTTAAAAGATAATTTATGTAGATACTCATGTGCAAACGAACTGGAGAAGTAAATATAGGGTAAAATAATACGTTATACAAATAAAGACACATTATGGTTCGAGACTCATTACATTTAAAATATTCATAATAAGGCAATAAGCTTTAAAATTACCAAAATCTTCAGCTGAAATAATTGGAGAAATAGGGCATTTATATTATTAGGCATAGGAGGAAAAAAATAAAAATAATTACAGATATTTTCACCCATTATTATTTATCTACAAAAAGAACACAATACACACATGGCACATGTCTATAAATATTGCGTGCTCGCTATCTAATGGTTTTCATGGATGTGTGTTTGAAAATTAATGATAGCCGATAGGTACTATAATTTAAAAGGATCGGATGAATATGTTATTAAAGTATTGTTTGGAACCTACCGGCAAGACACTTAATTTTATTCCGCAACGTCACCTATAAAAAATTCCTTAAAATATTCCCTGACAAAATATGCATGTACCTATTATAAACATATTATAATATGTTTGAACAGAATGATACGCGTTTTAAGCACTGCTATTAGTATGATGTTTTTTTTTTTCGCAATTCATTAGAACGCGTAAGGTTATATTAATTATTAATTTTTTTCACTCAATGTAAAAATATTATAATATTTTACGTGCGATCGTTTTTTATTTTTTTTTTTAACAACGGAAACGACGAAAGCGTAATCACATTCACAGACATCTAAACGCCAATATATTTCCTGACAGACGTAGCATATATTTTTATTTCTTTATTTCTAATTCTCACGCGCCGTTTTTAAGTTTTTGCTGAAGTAAATGTTTTCGTCGATAAGCGGTATTAGGCCATCACATCATGTGCATGAATGTAATAAAATAAAAATAAAAAACATAATGTAAATATACTAGTATATTAAGCATTATACGTGAAATTTCGCAAAAAAAATATGTTCGTCTAACAATTTGGCATGCTTAAAAAAAAAAAAACAATATCAACCGGAAATGCACCAATGTTATAATAACTACGCTTCAATTATGCAACGATTTTATTTGTAAATACTTTAATAACGCGTTGAACGAACAAAATACCGGATAAAGTGATGATAAAGGTGGAGATTATGTAGATATTATATATCGAGACAACCATCATAATAAAAGATCTGCGGGCGAGATCGGAAGGGAGAGAACAGCGAGAAGAAGGGGGAGTGATTTTGATATAGGTACACCTCATATGTTTAGGTATTATAATAGAAAACCTGAAACGAGATAACGACATGATGTGTATACGGTTAAGGGTAACCCTCCCTCATCCTTACCCTTACCCGCGGTCCTACGTACAGTTCCAGTTAGAATGGAATGCATTGTATATTATACTAGGAAAATAAATTGTAAAGATAAAAAATACAGGTTTTTTTCAAATCCTGTGTGACATAATTTGGCATTAAACGAGTTGTCGTTCGAGTGTGGTCAGTTGTCTTACACTAACCAAGTTACATCCTACTCTCACCCCCAATCGTAAAATACATAAGATTTATACCTTTTATACATTTATATGCATATAACATCGTATTTGGTTATTTTCAAGAAAATACTTAGATTTTTTTTTTGTTCTATTATTAATGTTTACTTGGATTCGGGTTCTATGAATGAAAAAAAGGGGTGAGTTAGACACAAAATAATAAATACGCACCAATAGGTCTCAGACTTATTCAAACTCGGGAGACCATATCCAGTAATTTGTTTCGCAGGAAGTAGTTTGTATATGATCAACTCAAAGTAGCGCACAACAATGAGGTTAAAAAGTAAAAACCTAAACAAATGAGTGCAATTTGACTCGCTTATGATTTATATAGTAGACCTCGTAGATACACAGTGATCTTTAAACAAATCCTATAACAATAACGTTGTACGTGACCTAAGTACCCGAATTAATTGTGTAAACAAAAAATTACACGGATTTTACAAAAAAAAAAATCTAATAAAACCCATGTTGCAATTGTTGAAAAAAATCTCATATTAATTCTTATAATAAATATAAATGAAAAAATAAAAACACGTAATATTGTAACTAAAGACATTATAAAAACGAGCTAGTCTGCAAAATGTATATAATATTTTACGGATAAAGCGGATATAAACATGGAGCATATTATATTCAATGCGATATATCACAATAACGTCATTGTTATAAACGCTATATTGAATTATTATTATAATAACAGTCGAAAATCTCTGAAATAATAATTGTTTTAATGAATTTTGTAATACAAACATCTTTGGTTACCAATAGGTTACCAGTTATAATACTCAGTTACCTTTACCAATAATAGTCTGTTTACAAATCACATGCATGTCTGCACGACTGATAAACATATATTATGTATAATATACGGATCGAGTGAAAATGATGTCATCACCAACACGATAAAATAAGGCAAAATTAAATTAAATAGTTCAGTTAAAATAATATTATATTATGCATCGGACGACGGTAATGCAAATACGCATATTATATATACGTCTTATATAAGAACTATATAGTTTACTCATAAAGTCATAAGTATTAAGTAGAGATAGGATGTTGATGACTTGCATTTTTTTTCCTTTGATCCCATAAAATGCTATCTTAGCTAAAAATTCGTTTCATGCTGCCTGATTTGGAATATACTAATTTTATTTTGCATTTTTAGGATATTTTTTTATATTTTAATTTTCAATTTTTTTTATGATTTCATACCTATATTTTTTTTTTGCTGTAAATTAAACTTAAAATTTAAATGTTTAATTTTTTAGTTTATTTTTATACTTTTAGGATATTAAAGCATTTTTTTTGAGTCATTTTTGATATTTTTTTAGGCCATCAACATCCTATCTCTAGTTATAAGCTTGACTCATCAGTCATATGTAATAGGTACATCCGTAAGTACTTGAGATGTGTAGGTAATATTGGGTACTTATTTATCTATCAGTGGCCCAATATCCAAAATTTTGATTTATGGTTGATAATTTGTTATGTTATGTATAAGGGAGGCTGTTAACTAGGATTCCTCTCATAAGTTTGGTTGCTAATGAAGTGGAGGTATTTAAACATTCATCAACCTTAATGCAAGTTAAAATTCTAATATACCTACGTCTTAATATAAGTTCACAAATCATAAAAGCATTTTTAAATTTTCCTGAAGTTTCGCTACTGGTACCTATATAATATGTATAATGTACACACGTATATATGTCATATACAAGGTCCTATTTAGGTTAATATAATATATAAATATATTATTATTATATATTGCTCTATTTTGTCTTGTTAATCCAAATGGCGATCGTAGGTAGGTACCGCTTTGTGTTTGAACGATATTTCAATTTCTAAACAAATTATAAGTATACCTATGTAAAATGTTATATGCAATTGAAAAATGCTCATAATTCACTTAAAAACTGTTACAGGAACGCATTCCACGAGCTGTATGCCATACTGGAGAGCCAGAGCTTCGACTCGAGGCACCACTTGCAGCTACAGCAGTTGTGGTTCAAAGCTCACTATCTGGAAGCGGAAAAGATCCGGGGCCGATCGCTAGGCGCGGTGGACAAGTATCGGCTGCGCAAGAAATACCCTCTACCGAAGACCATATGGGATGGCGAGGAGACTGTGTACTGTTTCAAAGAGAAGTCGAGGAACGCGCTGAAGGACTGTTACCTGAAGAATAGGTATCCAACACCTGACGAAAAACGCGAGCTGGCTAGGCGAACGGGCCTGACGCTCACGCAAGTCAGCAACTGGTTCAAGAACCGAAGGCAGCGTGACAGGACGCCCCAGCAGCACAGGTCAGTTGTAACTTGTAATAGTTGTTTAGTTAATAGTAAGTTGGTCGTTAAGCTGCATTGTCAGCTGATGCATCCAATTAATCACTTATAAAAGGATCGTCGATAGTTGCATGCTACGGGCATCGTGGAATACATATATATATATTATATATTATCAACATTGTATTACATTTTACAAAAACAATTTGATAAACTTTACTCAATTTATGGGATAATTATTCTAAAAATATAAAAATCCACAGTTAATATTTTTAAAAATTATATTCGAAAAACTATAACAAGAATGTCTATATTTTGTGTTTAAAACTAAAATAATAAATATTATAATAATATGATAATAATAGTTTACTGAAAGTAATAAATAAATATAATAATTTTACCTACCTATTATGAAACAAACATTTTTTTTTAGTTTTTTTACTTTTACGGACTTAGAAGTTAGCCAAGCTGGACTGACAGAGTACAATACTATAACAACTCGAAATGTTGAAGTTTATTTCGAGTTAAATAATTTAGGTACGCTAAATAAATTAAATTATGATAAATTATGTAATGTATATTTTATAGCCATGGCAGCCATGGCATGCAATTCTGATACACTGTAGTTGTATAGTACCTTTATGATGGCAACTGGCAAGTTTTAGGCCCAAGTAGATAGTTGTATCAGTCATTGACATAACTATAATCTTTATATATTTTAATATATACCGTCGACTACTCAGTTGTGGGTAGTCCAAATTTATTTATCTCAATAATAAAGATAATTTCGTTGAAAACAATTTGACTCGCAAAAACAGTTAAAAACATAATATGTAAACTGAGTGCAATGACTGATTGCCAATGAGTGTGTTAAAATAAGCAACATAATAAGTGAAATATGAAAATTTTTGCGTTTATCGTTATTTAGAGCTAAAACTTTATGGGTGCAAGTTTTGGGTTCCTCGTTATTTTAAATAATGTTAATACCTATTAAATTTAAAAATAATAACTAATGCGGGAAGGTAATAGCTCGGATACGGTATGTAATATAATAAATTCTTAGATTGTTTACATGAAATAAATGTTTCTACGAAACTAATAGACCTTTTAAATAAATACATTTTAAAATATTTCGTTTTGCGTTATTTTTCGTTTAATGATATCCTATAAATTACATTTTGCGTTATGTTTTGTTTTATGATAAATAATATATTTTGGTAATCGTTATGTTTTGTTTTGCGGTATTTAATTATTTTTGATTATCGCTTTCCGTTTTAATTACTTTTACAAATTGCAATCGTTTTTTGTCAAATATAACGTTATTATAACGTTTGCAAGCCTCGGTTCTTACCTAAAAGTTTGATAATAGGTAAATTCTCTCTAATATCAAAACTAACAGCACACTATTGAAACTGGTGAACGAAAATTGGTTATGTCGAGCACTCGTACGTGTGTAAGGCGGAGACAACACAGCGGGTACGACCGCCGTCCTTACAATTTCGAGATTTTCCACTAAACAATAATAATAATTAATAATATAAACTCGAGTGCGATGTATCTTAGGACAATACGCTGAAATAGCTATATTGATCACTAATTGTTACTATTCTATTATAATCCACATCGCTACGGCGGTATAATAATATTATAATATTATTATAGTTTGGTATTAGCCATTAGGTACTATAATATAAATTGTATTACACATTTAGTAGGTATTTACAGTTTACGCGATTCATACGCAATCGGAAATTCGGACGTCAAACAAAGACGAAACAATATTTTTTTCACGCACTACATCGCGTAAACAGACCTAATAATAATAATAATATAATATAATCACTTAATACACGCTGCCGTTGACAATCGTAATAATATTTTTATACAGACAACGCGGAACATTTTTAAAAATTTATCGACATTTTAAACATTTTAAAGATGAATAAACGACGAGATTGATATAATTGTCATTTAATAATTTAATTTATAATTTTTTTTTGTTTTGTTTAACGTTAATCGCAGAATAATGGTAAAACGATCGTCCACGCGACGACGAATTGTCTCGTCAGTATAGTGTTTATATTATTATGCACTATCAAAATTATTATGAAAACATAGAAATACACATATACGTTAATATGTTCTTTTGTAACAACTAACAAGAATAGGTTATCTTTGAGGAAATAAAAATGTAAATAGGTAGTTGAAAATACACGAATGATATTATTTATTTATTTCAAGGCTAAATTATTAATGATTGTTGTTGTTTCTTTTACTGTGCCCTCGCATAGTAGGTACCTACGCCTATTCCCATGTATAGTACACTGCACATACAGTTAGACATGTATTTTACATTTAATATTCTCAAACTATTATGCATCAATAAAACTAATAATTCATAAAGTTTCCGCAGTGTAAACATTTTAGATTCTGAGCGGAGCGATGAATGTATTGGTTTTACAATGATGTATGTTTTTATATTTTTATATTTTTATATTTTTATATTTTTATATTTTTATTTATATTTTTGTGTCTGTCATCACGTTTTGGGACAGTAAAAGTGCTTCGATTTTCTTCAATAGTACCTTTTCTGATAGGAAAGTGAATCTAGTTGGTACTTTGGGGGGTCAAAAGTAAACATTTTCCAGTAGTTTTCACAAGCGCCGGGAAAAACAACATAAAAATTAAGGAAAAACGGGAATTTTTACGCAAAATCGATTTTCCAAAAAATCGAATTTGGTTATTGGTGTAACTTTAAAACAAATGACCGTAGATACATGAAATTTTCACTGGTTGTTTATATTTGCATTTTCTATACACGATAACATTTTCAAAATATTTTGATTTATTTTGAACTGTTTAGGGACATTTTCATTTTTCATTTTTTTTTAGTTTTTTTTCTAGAAATATCAATAAAATTTTATTTGTTCGTTGCGAAAGCTTGAAAATTTAATAGAAGGCTCCTAATATGTTGTTTCAAAGGCAGATGAAAAATATTAAAAATCCTTAGTCACAATTTTTTTTTATAAGCATTTAAAGTTCAAAAATTGACAAAATATGGAAAAATCACGAAAATTAGCAAATTATTTTGAGTTAAGAATTCGTAAAAATTTTTCTTTTTAAATCTAAGATTTGAAAATGAAACACAAGATTCCTTATAAGATTATCTACCTTTATCAATAAAAAAATCTCTACCGGACAGTCAAATTAAATTTTTATGAGCGTTTGAAATTCAAATTTTTACAACATTGGATTTTCACTCGATTTCTCATGTAGCGATTTCCTTATTTTGTTGTAATTCAAAAACGAATAACTGTAGATACATGAAAATTTCACTGAATGTTTATATTAGCATTTCATATACACCATACAATTTTGAAAATATTTTGACTCTTTTTGAGCTGTTTATGGACATTTACAGCTTTCAATTTTTTTAGTTTTTTTTTCTATAAATATCAATAAAGTTTTATCTGTTGGGCCAAAAAGTGTAAAAATTTAATACAAGGCTCCTGATATATTGTTACAATATCAGTTGAAAAATATTAAAAATACATAGGCACGATTTTTTTTTATAAGCATTTAAAGTTGGAATTTTGACAAAATTTATCAAAATCTCGAAAATTATCAATCTTTGGAATTAAAAAATTATAAAATGTTCAGTTTTTATAACTAAGAGTTGAAAATTTAAAACAAAGATTCTCTTAAATAATTCATACTGTAACCAAAAAATCTAAAAAATATATAAACACACTTATTTTTTACAGACATTTTAATTTCAAATTTAGACAAAATTTCATATTTAAACCAAGAATTACGATTTTAGTTATTTTGTTGTGATTGAATAATACTATTCGTGGGTACTTGAAACTTCTAAAGTGTACTATTATATATCTATGATAGTATCACGGTTTTTGTTGATGTATAACGCGTTATAAGTATCTAATGGATATTGTGATATGATTAATTTGGAATTTATTATAGGTACCTATTATAGGTCAATTTTTTGTTTAATACCATAGATATGTATATAATATGCCTTATACATAGACTGACATACCATCACCGCTCAGAATCGTTTTTCTTATACAATGATATTATATCATTGAATTCAAATTTAATACCATCCATTATACAGTGACCCACTTGTAACCTACTGTACAGCAGAGCGACACCCACTTGCCCACCTTTTTTTTTATGACTTGTTAAAAAAAAAATGCTCAACAAGTAGTAATTTTTATATTTTTTAAAAAACGTAATTGTATAGGTACATATTATTATATTATGTACAAAATAAAAACCATTAGGTTAGCTGCATACTGCAGTATTCAATATAGTTCATATAAAATGTGTTACATTTACAAAACTAACGAAATTTATAAATAATAATTAAATGATAATTGAATTTTTTTTAATTTACTGGGAATCTGTATGCTTTTAATTAATATTTTATAGGTATGTTATTGTAATTTTAGACAACATTTATTTTTGTTGGTTCAGCGTACAGTATAAATAAGTAATATACCTACTTTACACGGTTCGAGTGAAAACGTTTTATTTATATGGTTAACCAAAAATTCAGCTATATGTGCAGACATTATATTTTACCCTAAATAGCTACATTTCGAAAAGATTGACAAAAGCGATTAGTCAACTAGTCGATTGCATAACACATGTGTAGCATAAAAATTGACGTGGGACAGTCCTAAATGGAAAACCATAAGACCAGACTTTTTTCCCCAGAAATTCCTATTATACGGGAAAGAATCTCATTAATAATTGATGCCATACACACACAAGGTCCGATTTTAAAATACGCGCAGTTAAAATATAATATGAAATATGTTTTTGCTGGTTCGAATTTAAATAATGACTGAGTATAGAGATCTAGATTCAAGAACCAGAGTATACCAACGTCATGAATCTTCGATACATAAGACTTATGACACATGTGTAATATATTTATATTATATATATATTATTATATATGGAACACAGATATGCAATATCGCCGAGAATGAATAGATACGGGTATATCGAAGTCCGTATAAAGGTGATTTTGGTGGTCGAAAGGTCTTGATGATAATATAAGCACAATATGATAGATTCCTTTCAAAAAACATTATCGAATATATTATTCAATACCAACGTTTTAAGTTGTTAAATTTAAAAAATCAACAGCTATGTAGGTTAGCCTCCGATAAAAATATTTATCCTAGTTACGCCTATATACAGAGTGATTCACCGAGCATGCTCGGACCCGATTTTTTTTTAATGTTGATTTATCTAAATCAAAATTTGAATGAGTGATAAACGATGTATGTTTCGTCACAGGACACTCCTTAAATGGTATAAAAATCTAAGTATTTGAACATACGGCTCTTAAAAGTACATATTATATTAAAACTTTGTATAATACTATAATGTGTATACAACCCGTGGATTGAACGCACGAATTTATTCTATATATAGATACAGTTATAACTTATAGGTCTACAATAATGTGTATAGGTATATAAGTACATTTAGATATACAATAACTGAAGACGTGTAAAAAAATATATATACTTATTTAATATTGTTTAATAACTGCTTATACGAAAACGGGGAAACCTAAAACATATTTTACTAGGTGGGAGAAAAAAAATATTAAAATCTTCGTAAAAGTCGTCGACGGTGGCGGCATAACGTTTCCGTAAAGAAAATCACGACGTCGTGTTTGCCATTAAACGCATATATTTTAATATATGGGGCGACGGCGGCGTCGGTGTGTTCGACGGTCAAGCCCAGTAGTACAAACATATAATAATGGTGAGTACCGACTGCCGAGTTTACGATGTTATTGTGTACATGCGCGCACATGTAAAATATATATTATATTATATATTTATATACACATAATATATATTGGTGTGTGTGTGTGTGTGTGTGTGTGCAGTATATATACTCCGTGTCCGAAAATTAACGAGAGACAGAGAGTGAGAGGGGCTGAGAGAGGTATAATAATATAATATTATATAGAGAGAGGTCGCGAGAAGTGTATTATATATATATATATATATATATATATGCATGTATGTGTGTAGAATGAATGGTAGAGACTGAAAAGAACCGCGCGTCCCTTTCGGTGGAACACGTGTTTGCTAATCACACATTCTTGTATTTCGGCGTCCGTGACAAATTACCCTCCGCCGCCGCCACACAACAGTCATCGCCTGAGCCGTTTACGCTCACTCCGTCCGTCCGTCTAATCACGTTGTTACCAGATTTGCCGGGTATATACAGATCATCTAGTCGATCCCTGCTGTTTCGACCACCCCTACCACCATCCCAATGTCACCCTTACGGCCCAACACCGTCGCTTCTAAGACCACACTTACTGTTTCTGCCTCCCCTGTAGTGCTATACACGACGAAATCCTTTGGAACGATAATACCAATGTCCAATATACATAGGCCACCACCTACATAGTGCAAGTAACCACTGCACTGCAGTTACTACAGTAGTGCAGAACCAAGAATATATTATGATTTGAAATTATACTTAAATAATCTTTGGGAACTTTGGGATAGGTACACTATAATGTGTATCTAGAGTCTAGACTCAGTGTGTAGTATATATGTACCTATACAAAGAATATTCATAAAAAAAAGTAATGCCGATGCACTTTTAACATTTGGAAGTGGAAAATTCTTTTTTTACAGGGAGTGAACGTTCATAGTTTTTCTGTTTTCAAAAAAGTCCCCTGCAGTATCAGTCCAAATCAGTTTGTACGAATAATTGAATGTCTACAATACCTAAACACAGGGTCCCCACAGGGGGGGGGGGTGTTGGACCTGGATCACAGGGGCCCGTTGAAATTAATTTGTAATTTTTGAAACGTTGATATGAATACTTATAGTTTTAGCTGTGGGTGAACAATTGATTACCTAGAAAATATCGTGTATGGCTTTATGGATCACCCGTTTCGCTTGTAATGGGTTGTATTTTATTAGAAGTTTCGTATAAGGCCCGTAAAAACATTTAGTATACAGGGACCCAACATTTGATGTGCAGGAGGGGTCCGACTTTTTTGTCCAAAGGTATTTATTTATCCGTTGAAATTGTATAAAAAGGATGGCAATGTTGTTGGAATGGTTGGACATTAAAAACAACACCTTTTAAACAATTTGGTATACAGAGCATAGGTACTTGCTGAAATGGGAAACCATTCAATTATTGTTCAATGCGTATTTATTTATATGCCAAAATATCGTTCGCCCAAACGACCAGATACGAATACCGTAATTTAACAAAAATACAGTATCTGGCGACTGGTATAATACAGTTCATTAAATACCATCATATTATTGTAATTTATTAGTCATTACAAATTCGTCAATTTCGTGAATTCGTTTTATATTATTTTGGTTATAACTTGAACTAACTATACCAACTTCACCTTACCGAGCGTTAAGTTCATAAAGTCATTTTAGATTTCGAAACGACAGTATTTCCACCACGCCTGCCGCACCTTATCGAAAAAAAACATTAAATACACACACGTCCACCTAATATATTATATTATATTATTATATTAAAACGGCGCTAGAGTTCGGGGCAGCTGGAGGCACAATACCGTATAAATTATATACATGAATGTATAGGTACACGTTATTAGTTGTATTATTATTATTACACCGAACAGACGAAGCGGCGGTCACCTCCACACCGTTCCCGTCTATATCCTCCGCGGGAGCGTGTGCGCGCTTGTCGGACACGCCTACCGGAACGACGGCCGCATCGTCGCGAGGATTAGTGGAGCGGCGGCGATTCGACGCGCCGCGTGCAATAATAATTATTGAAAAGCTCACCCATTTGCGCGATTCACTCCCCGCGGAGGCTGCAGGTGCGCTGGTGCACGCGCACCACGTCGATGGATATAACTAACTGCTAGGTAAATACAAATTGTTATACCCATTATAAAGTCCGAGCAACCCACCTACTGGTATATATTATATACCAGGGTTATATTCAAAATGATTCATCCGATTTTGAATGTTCATACATTTTTAGTTTTTATAGGTTTAGAGTAATAGGCATGATACATTAAGAAGACCCTATATACACCGGCGTGCGTTGTCTCCGTCTCACAAACGTATAACATAAGCTAATTGACAATTATTGTGTATAAAATAATACCTATGTAATTAATATAATATATAAGTTTAATATAGCGGAATATAGGTAACTATATTATTGTATAACTATATATTGTATAAAATATCCTCTTCACATTGAGTATTCGAGTAGATTGGTATAAAATGTTGTATTTTGATTCTATACTATAAAAAAACATAGTAATTATTGAAAAGCTCAACCGTTCACGCGATTCACTCCCCGCGGAGGCTGCAGGTGCGCTGGTGCACGCGCACCACGTCGACGGATATAACTGCTAGGTAAATACAAATTGTTATACCCATTATAAAGTCCGAGCAACCCACCTACTGGTATATATTATATACCAGGGTTATATTCAAAATGATTCATCCGATTTTGAATGTTCATACATTTTTAGTTTTTATAGGTTTAGAGTAATAGGCATGATACATTAAGAAGACCCTATATACACCGGCGTGCGTTGTCTCCGTCTCACAAACGTATAACATAAGCAAATTGACAATTGCGTATAAAATAATACCTATGTAAATAATATAATATATAAGGTTAATATAGGTAACTATATTATTGTATAACTATATATTGTATATATTCACATTGAGTGTTCGAGTAGTTTGGTATATGAAATGTTGTATTTTGATTCTATACTTTATTGCTATAAAAAAAACATAGTAATTATTGAATAGACGCAGTATTTTATTCAAAAGTAAAATATGAAATGTGTCGTAATTTTTCATGGTTGAACTTGATCGATAATACCTACATATTCGAAACATTTTAATATCAATATACTAACCTACTTAAAAATTCGAATAAAATTGAACGATTAATTTAAAAGTACCTACAATAGCACTATTTATAGCACTCGGTGGAAAATTTAAATTGTAATAATATGTTTCAACACTTGAACCGTACGATATATGCAGCACCATTGAAATATGATACTTATAGCAACAGTTATATGTTGATATAATTACATATTGTATTTAAATGTATATTGCTGTATACAGCGTATACTACTGGTGGGGTGAACCTTTTGTGGGTCAAGTGCCAACATTTTGCGATCAAGGTTTTAAAAACTGTTTGTGGACACCACCCTCTCTCCCCACTAAGAAAACATTTTGATTTAAGGGGGCTGCAGCAGGTTTTGTCAAAAGTTTAAACTAATATTGTAGATTTGACCAATCTAAACATTAATTTTGTTTGTTATAATGTTATTCAATATATTTAAATTCCGTATCATAAAATAAACCTTAAGTGGGCAGGAGAGGGCTCCAGTCAATGAAAAAAAAGTGACTTTTAGACCAATAAGCTATACAAAACTAGAAGAATTTGGTTTGACAGATTTTAATTTTAAAAACGGATTATGATTGTTCAACAAATTTACTAGGGAATGATCGAGGCGATTTTGAATATTCCAATTATTATTAGTGTCATAATGAATAATATAAATACAAAAATATCATATTTTTTCGATATTTTTATTCTTGGATATCACAGCTGAAAAAAAAATTATTCAAAATCGCCTCGATCATTCCTTGGTAAACTTGTTAATCATAATCCGTTTTCAAAATTAAAATCTGTTAATTATTAATTAATAAGGATTTTTACGTTTATTTTAACTTTATAAACTATGCATACTTTTTTTATTGTTCACATTTTATTTTTAATGATAAGAGAAGGAGGCGCTTTTATAGTTAATTTTAAACTTTTATTTGCAGGATTGTCTAGGCCCTGCAGTGATTACTATAAGCTCTAGTAACGTTCATGATGGTAGAAGGGGGAGTTTTCACCCCACGGGGATTGTGAACTTCGATTTTCTAGGACTCTAGCCCGTGTAATTATCAAATCCTTGTTACACCCATCACCCATGATTATACCATAACATTTATCATTATTGTCATAATGTCATCACACGAAACCACGATATTCGTTTTTAATTCGTACGATACACAATATACTACTACTGGGGAGCTTCCACACACACGTGAGTGTCCAATGTCCATATGTGGATATAGTTTAATATATTATAGTATACATTGAAAAAACAAAACAGTTGTTTGTACTATAAAAGTAATAGGATTGACTGTACATTATGATTCCTATAGGGATAGCTATAAGGTTAGTCAGATTTACTAAAATATAATAGTCAAGTTATTATGGTAAATCGAACTGAAATATGCTATTTTAACTATATTTTTTAGTTTATTCAAACATTAAAAACTGTGTAAACTATAAAACATAGTAAACATTATCATAACAAATAACTATATTTATATAGTCATAATAAGTAAATCATTTTAGTTATTTTACCTATTAAATAGTTATATTTACTATAATTTGTTTAACTATAATATTATAGTAATTTTTTTTCCATGTAATATCACATATTCACGTACGTAAATTCGTTATCGAATTTGTTCCGTGTATACAGAAAAATCGAACATATCTAAGCATTTGTCCGACGCTGTATCGTCACGTCCCCAAATGGGGACAGCGAATAATGTATATTATGTTGTTGTACAAATTTACAATATATATAATAGCATATTGTTGTACATTTGTATACAATATATGATTGTGTACCTAGGTACTTGATCTAGTTGTAGTACCTATATATGTATACATAATATTATTATTCTTGATGTAGTCAACTACATTAATAACCCGTCAATTATAGTTGGTTCCTTTTGAATGCATATAACATGAGTGATATTTCTCTAGTCACTGCAGTCTATACATGTATAGAAATTTCTCTATAAAAGTGTTGATCAATACAAAAAATCATATACTCAACTTTTAAAATTTTTAAGTTTATTAAGTTTATAATTTGTACCTTTATCATCAATATATTATTAATCTGGTAGGATGTCGGAGCTGACACGTTTTAGAAGATACAAAAACTTACTGCAGCCTTATATGCCTCGTAAAATAGTCGTACATTTTATTAATTTTTTTATTTTACATATGAATACCAGAATACCTATATAGTATACTTTATGCTCATTTGGACATTTGGACTCCGATTTTAATAACTATTAACTCTATTTTCATAAGTTGTAATAGACGCGTCTATGGTCTATCATCACAAGTGATTGAATATTTCAAAATCTATTTGTCTGGCGTTATTTAAAGTTATCTAAAAATTGGAGTCCAAGGCGATCTGAACACAGTTTTCCTCTAAAAAATAGAAACAATTTATCGTGATGTCATATTAATAAATGTACAACACCTCATATA